CAGTTCGGTCAGGGCTCGGATGCAACAGGGGGCTCGATTCACAACGCTATAGAGCGCAATCGCGGCATGGTACGTCGCGCGCCAGCACGGCGCAGCACAGCGCAGCCCTCGGCGCGGCGCATCAAGGTCGATGCACTCAGCATGGCAGTTGCCCGTCGCCCAATCAGGCGTTTATGAAACGTTGCCATGTCCCACATTTCTGTGTTCCTCTCCAGGTTCGTGGGCCGATCATGTTTTCAATTGGGCTCAAGGGGCCCACGACGTCCCAAGAGGGCCACGGCGCGGCCCCAGAGGGCGCCCAGGCGGCCCCAGGGAAGCCCCAAGAGGGCCCAAAGAGGCCCCCAAGAGGGCCCCAGGAGGCCTCGCGGAAAGTTCCGCGACGGCCGAAGGCGTCCAAGAGGGACCCAGAGGGCCCCGCGACTCTCCAAGAGGCCTGCGAGAGGCTTCCCCAGAGGGCCCACAGAGGCACACATCATTGATTTGTCAACGGTTTTTGCTTGTTTTTTGGAGGCTGTCGCCTTTTCTGGTTACGCGCGGCCCAAGACGACCCAAGGGGCTCCAGCGATCATCCCCAGATGGCCCGCAAGGCCCCTCAGATGGCCAGAAAACAGCCCAAGAGGACCCTAACACGGCCCCAAGGGAGCTTCAAGAGGGCCAAGAGAGGCTCCCAGAAGGGCCCCAGAGGCCGCCATGAGAGCCCCCAGACGGCCAGAGGCTTCCCAGAAGGCCCAAAAGGGCCCCAAGACGCCCCAAAAGGGCACCCGAAGGGCCCCCCAAAGACCCCCAAGAAGCTCACAGACGCCAAGTAACACCATGGCTCTCAACACCGATCGGCGACGTAACAAGCTCTTGACGCAACGCATCCCCAGAGCGCGGCGACGTAAAGAGCTCTGAATGGCAAGGCTCTCAAAAGCGTCTCTGAATACCAGGGCTCCCGACTGAGAGCGGTGAAGTAACAAACTCTTAACGCCGCGGCTCCCAGGAGCGAAGGGTGCCATCAGCCAAGGCCCTCCTCGCCGCCACGGCGGGACGCGGCGCGGAAAAGTGTCGCGCTGGGGCCCGGGGCTGCCGCCGCCTTGTAGCTGTTCTCGGCTGTCTTCAAGCAGCTTACCCTGGCCCTGCAGTTTTCACGTCCGCAGTCGTTCGGCTTCGAGCTTATACTGTCTTGGCCGACTCCCTCCCGCGCCGCACCGCGCCGCCTCGATCCTTGCGTTCGATGGCGCCCCCGAGGCTCGCCGCGCTCGCCCTGCTGCTCGCCCCGAGAGCGGCCTCGGGCGAGGCCCCGGCGGGCGCGCGCGAGGCCGCGGGCCGGTGCGAGGACGCCGCGCTCCTGCAGCATCGCCCCAACAGTTTCAAGGTGCGCCCCGGTCGCGGATGCGCTCTGGCGTGCGCGGTTTATGAGGGATGCGTATTGGGGTGAATTTCGTTGTCGTTTCAACCGATGCGAGTGTCGCGTGTTTGATATTTCTAACCCGGTCGATACCTCGGAGCGCCCACCCACGGGGTGCTTGCGCCCATGAGCAGCCGCCCGTTTGTCCACGGTCTCGGCGGGCCGCTTGCCCCGATCAGCGCTTGTGTTCGGTGTCGCGCATATATGATATAACGGGCGCCTGGGGCCCCGGGCCCAGGGGCGGCGCACTTTTCCAAGACCCCCCCTTCGGCACCCGCTTTTGGCCCCGGGGGCCAGAGACAATTTTTCAGGGTTTGACTTCCCAAGGTGCCTCCAAGACGGCCGAAGATACGTCCAGCGCGGCCTCGGAGGACCCCGAGAGGGCCCCGAGGCGGCCCAAGAGCCCTCCAAGCGCGCTTCAGATGGCTTCGAGACGGCCCAAGAGGCCCCGGAAACACCCCAAGAGATTCCCAAGAGGACCCCCGCGAGGCAAACGTCTTCCCGCAGAGAATCGCATGATTGCAATGGAGAACTTGGATGACTAATTGGCAAAGGATTTTATTGCATTGAACTGTTGAGCGAGCGTTATAGCTCTGACTGCATCCTTTTCATGAAGGCCCTGTCTGCTTGCGGGAAGCGATGGCGTTCGCCGCGAATCACGTGAGAACCTGCGCGCACGTGTATCACATTCGTCGTCGGCCGTCGAGTTCCGTTGCGATCAGTATAGGTATGATGGCCCCGCCTCCATGTCCGCATTAGAACGGGCCCCGATGGAGGACGACGACGGAGAAAGAAAAAGGAGGATGAAGGTTGTTTGTCGCGTTAGGTGTAATTGCAGCGAGACTCCGCACCTGGCGACTGCAGTGGAAGCGGTTCGGGACAAAATGTGTTGCGCAATGCATGTGCAATCGTCGACAGCACGGCGGCACTAGGGTGACGAGCGTCGTTCTTCCTGACGTTGACCGTCCTCGTCCTCATCCCCCCTGTCGTCCTGATTCAATCAAATCTCTCTTTCTTTCCCTCTCTCCCTCTCTCGTTCTCCGTGGTGCCGCCCGTGTTGGATGCTCAGCTGGCAGTTGCGGCACTTAAACAAGTGTATCGCATCTTGGCAGGCCCCCGCATGTTTACGCCAAACCGCATAGTCGCGCTTTGCGTTGCCAGTTTGTCTCTTAGTTGCCGCGCGCCCGGCAGGTCGCGGCGGGCGTTGCCCCGGCCGCGCACGGTCTGCCGCAGACTTTGCGGAAAGAAAGAGCGAGGCAAAAGTCTGCGAGAATAGGGGGGGGAGGAGGGGGGAGAGGCGCGCTTATGGGGCGAAACCCTCTAGGGGGGGTCCAGGGGGGGGGGCGAGGCGCGCGGGGGCCGGAGAGGGAAAAAACTAGGTCCGAGCGATGTACGTTGAGCGAGGCCCGAGCGATGTACGGGAGGGGTCCGGGGGCTGGGCGAGGCGCGCAAGGATAGGCTGTATCGGCCCCTCTGGGGGCCGCTTCCGTTGTATTTTTTGAGTGGGGCGGATCCCGGGCGGCTCCCATGGCGTGTTTCCGCGCGTTTTTCTCAAATATATATTTGTGCGTGCATGCATTCATGCGCGTATGTGTATTTAGATATGTCATTGTACAAGTTTGCGCGCGCCGATAGGTATACACGAATGTTCGTGCCATGATATTTATATATACACATGTATAGGTGTGTGTGTGTGTGGACCGCGCCGCCCATCGATTCGGTTCATCCTCAGGCTCTAGCCGACGGCACCGGGCAGCGGAGGCTCCCGTCCCACTCTCCCAGCAAGGATGTACCCTCTCTCCGAAACGCGGAGTGGCGAACGCCCCCGCCCGGGCCCCGCGGGGTTGCCAGGCGGGCCAGGGCAGCAACCGCCAGCCTGCCAAGGCGCCAGGTAGCTGCCAGGGGCCCCAGATCCCCGACGCCGCGAAAAACTCACGGCGAAGGTCTTTGACAATTCTTGGCCTCTGGAGGCCCCCGCCGGGCCTCCGGAGCGTCAGCTAAACCACTCGGGGCGAAGAACCGGCCCCAGGGAAGGTCTCCAGACTTCGGGGAGCCAGCGTCGTGAGTTGCTCACGACGTCGGGGGTCTTGGGTGGAGGAGGAGGAGGAGGAGGAGGAGGAGGAGGAGGAGGAGGAGGAGGGAGGAGGAGGAGGAGGAGGAGGCGGAACATACTGAGGAGAGGAGGATGCGAGGAGGACGAGGAGGAGGAGGAGGAGGAGGAGGAGGAGGAGGAGGAGGAGGAGGAGAGGAGGAGGAGGAGGAGGAGGAGGAGGAGGCTTGGGGCGCGCGGCCCGCAGACGCGTGGACCCAGAGAGCCGACGCCCCGAGACTCCGGCGGCCGGCCTCGGGTTGCGTGCGTTCGGCCTCCGGGGGCCCTCGCCGCGGGACCGTCGAGCCACGCCTCGGGGGCGCAAAGCTCAGGAGGGCAAGCAACACACAGACACGGTTAATCTTCGAAAATATATATGAAATTTCGGGAAATATGGGAAGTGGGGGGGGGAGACAAAAACCCAGAAACTATGGGGAAAACTGTTTTTTTTTATTTGTGCGTATTTTGTTTGTGCGTCCCAGGGCCCCTTCAGAAGCTGGCCCCGGGGAGATGGTCCAGACCTCGGGGTTCCGCGCATCTCGGGGCGGCAAAGAGGGGGGTGATGACTAGGGGGGGTGGATATCATGGCGGGGGCCATGATATCTCCCCAGATTTCAGCGCGCCTCTTTTTGTTTCATTACGTCCCTGGTCCCCCCGCTGGGCCGCGCACATGCCGCCAGTCATGATTTGCACCCCCGGGGTTCCACGCAAAGCTGGTCGCGAGGAGGTGGTCCAGACCTCGGGGTTCCACGCATCGAAAGAGTTGGAGCAGCCAGATATCTGGGGAGTAGGGCTGGCCGCGATGCGCTCTTCTCGGCCGTCGTCGTCGTGTTGCCTGCGCCCGTGACCTTGCGACACCCCGGTCGATCGCTGCCCCTCCTTCTTCATTCCGCCTGCACCACCTGCTCACCCGCATTGCCCATCGTCTAAGGCACAAGGGTCGAAGTGGTGTCGAGCTGGCCAGCAGGAAGCAACGGCGGGTTGAAGTTGTTTGGTTCCGATGGAGAGCCGACATTGTCGGCATGCCCATAATTCCGTCTGGCGCGTCATGGTGGTTGCCCAGGCCACACCCCTCCCCCTCTCCCGGGCCACGCGGTAGCGATCGTTCAAGGGAGGGAGGGGGCTTGGACCCACCCCCAAAACATGCGGGTGCTCGCGCGAATACTGTGGCGATCGCAGCGCAGCCGTGCCCCGACGTGCCCCACCCCGCCCAGACGTTGCCATCACCCAGGCCCCCACAATACCCACAGGGGACTCGGACATCTGGCTGCTCCAATTTTTCCAGGCCCCGGAGGTCTGGACCACCTCCCGTCGTTTGTTGACTGTCCCGAGGCCCGGTGAGGGTTCCTGGAGGCCGAACGCAGCCCAACGCCGGCCGCTTCCATTTTTTGGAGCCTCGGATCTCAGGGCGACGACCGTTGCCCGACGACCTAAAGGAGACCATCCTCTGCCCGTTCCTGCCTCCCCCCCTCCTTCGGCGGGGTGCTCGGGCCCGCTCCCCCCCCCCCTCGCGCGCCGCAGGCCTCCCTGCTCAGCACCGCGGACGAGAAGAAGCTCGCCGCGCTGGTGCAAGGCTGGCGCCCCCTGGCCCGGCGGCGGCTGCGGGGTCGTGCCGCCGCAAATCCAGGAACGCGAAGCCAGAAGCATCGGGAGGTGCACCTCCCGACGCCCTTCTGGAGCTTGCGCTACAAGATTGGCAGCGCGCGACGACATATGAGATATCGAGCGACAACACACGCACACACACACGCACACGCACGCACGCACGCACGCACACACACGCACACGCACGCACGCACGCACGCATGCACGCACGCACGCACGCACGCACGCACGCACACGCACGCACGCACGCACGCACGCACGCACGCACGCACGCACGCACGCACACACGCACGCACGCACGCACGCACGCACGCACGCACATCGGAGGCCCCCTCGGGGCCTATGGGGGCCTCCGAGGCGCCCTCGGGGCCCCCTCGGGGCCCCTCGGAGGCCCCCATCGGGGCCTCCGAGGCCCCCCCCCCGGTGGCACCACCGAGGCCCCGCGCGGCCCCAGAGGGCCTCGGAGGCCACGCCCCGTCGGCGCGGAGGGCTCGCGGCGAGAAGGTCTTCGGCTGTCCTCGCCCTCCGGGGGCCGGCCGCGGGCTTGGGCTGAGTGGGGCCTGTCCCTCCCCGGACCCCCTCGAGCAATGAATAAATCACGACGGGAGGTTTTCCTTAATTTTCGGCCTCCGGGGGCCCTCGCCAGGCCTCGGGAGCGTCAAAAAACGACTCAGGATGCAAGGCCGGTCATGGGGAGAGGGTCGGGAGCTCTGGGGGTCGACGAAATGACAAAATCATGACGTCGGGGGTCTTGGTCTGAGGGGTATGTCAAGATATCAAAAACACATTTTTGGGGACCAGTTGTTTTACCGTTTTGATTCTTTTTGGGGGACACGTCTGGGGTATTTTTGATGTATCGTCCCAAATCCCCCTGCAGGGGGACACGCCCGACCTAAGGCTTGGGGCCGTCAGAGGACTGCCCGGAGCGAAAAGACGGGCCCCGGGGGAAAGGTCCGGACGGACTGCTTGCAAGAGCTCGGGCTGGAGAGGGCGAGGATCGCAGAGAGCAGCATTGCATAAGCTCCCGGAGGTCGGCGTCGATTTTTTGGGAATCTGCGCCGGGCTCCCCTGGCGGCGCCTCCTGCGCAGCCCCTCGCGCGGTCGGCGCTGGGGTCCCGGAAGGAGGGGGGCAGCGGGCAACGCCGATCCAAGGAACCCGAGTGGACCTCCGGAAGTCTGCGCTGAATTTGCGCAGCTTGTGGCTTCCATGCCCCAGGCAGTGTCTGCACCTCGGGCTTCTGACGAACCGCGTGCGGGCGATGATGAAATACCCCCCCCCGAACCCCCTCTATTTTTGTGATCCCCGTCCAACAGGATTTCTTTGTGGAGGGGGGCGCGGAGGCCGAACTTTATAGTACACGGGAGAAGTTGCGAATCGAAACTGCTATCATATCTTGTTGACTAGCAACAGCATCAAAAACGCTGAGCTTGGCCATGGTGGTCTCACCACACCAGCGTCCGCAATCACGAACGTGTGGCAGGGCTGTTGGATTCTGACCAGTTCAGTTTGCCCAATTTACGAACGCGCGGCAGGGCCATGGGATTCTCATTTTCTCAGCCGTTCCCGAGTCAGGAACGCGTGGCAGGGCCATGGGGACCGATTGGATATTGATTGTACATGCGTCTTTCGAGCAGGCAGAGCATTGGAGTTAATTATTTGTTTAGCGCACCCATCACACGGTTCGTGGCCCTTCCTCCTCCTCCTCCTCCTCCTCCTCTTCTTCCTCCTCTTTCCCCGCAGCTGCCCTGGCCCGAGTTTCCCTGGTCCCCGACACTCCAAGTTTTCGAGCCTCTTCGAGGTGCCGAGCCTCTTCGCCCCAGGGGCAGCGATAGAGAGGCTTCTTGGCCAGATCGGCCAAGGACATCTCTTGCGCTGGCAAAATGTAGCCACGAGCCAGTCAGCCTTGTGCCGAGCGCCTGCTGGCCAGATGTATAGCCACGAGTTTCGAGATCTCCGGCGTCAGCCTTGTGCCGAGCGCCTGCTGGCAAGTTGTATAGCCACGAGCCTCGAGATCTCTCGAGTCAACCTTGTGCCGAGCGCCTGGTGGCAAGTTGCGCAGCCACGAGCCCCGAAATTTCTCGAGTCAACCTTGTGCCGAGCGCCTGCTGGCATGTTGTATAGCCACGAGCCTCGAGATCTCCCGAGTCAGCCTTGCGCCGAGCGCCCAGGATCACCATCATCATCATCATCATCATCATCATCGTCATCATCATCATCATCATCATCATTGCCATCGTCATCGTCATCCCCAGAAAACTCTTTAATTTTCCCCGCCTGAACCCCGAATTCTATCATCCCCGGGGTGCTTATTTTTTGGGGTTGTCAGGGGTCAGAAACGGGGGTCGCCTGTAAGAATGGCCCCAGGGGGGGCAAGGAGGGCGACTCAGACGGAAATCCGCCTTCGTCTTGGTGTTGAGGTGTTTTTGGTCAACCTGTCGTTTTGATGTTTGGTTTTGTTCAGCCGTCCCTCTGGATTCCCCATTCCCTGTATGCATTTGGCAGCGTCATTTGTTCCACGTTGTGCGGCGCACGTCGGTCTTCGGGGTGGGTTGTTCGACGGGTTGGGCGTGATTTTCGGCGTTGACTTGCGCCCGGGGGCGTCGGTACTCGGCCTTGGTTTTGCGGCTGCGTCTTGCGATGCACGTCGGTTTCCGACTCAGTCTCGGTCTTCAGCTTCGGTCTTGCGATGCCGTCGGTCCGCGGCCTCGGGTTCAATCATAAAACGTCGAAACATGGTCTCGGCTTGGCGACGGGGGTGGCGGTTCAGATTTCCTGCATTTGCCGTGCGCCATCACTCGCCGACAACGCTGTTCCCTGTGGGTCCCACGACGCGAGGTTCGTTTTATGGTGCAGTGGCGGGGGGCTTGGGTCTTGTGCGCCTGGTCCAGCGGCACGCGGTGCCATTGACCTCTGAACCGCGGATCGCACGAACACGCGCATGTCCGTATAAGTTGTGTTTCCAACCACGCAGCGCGAAGCACACGCACATTCAAAGTTTTCCACCACAAACTTCGATGTCACACGTTGTTTGCGAAGCGGCGCGAGCTACACAACAAAATGATATGGGCGAACGTTCTGACAAGAGCACCGGGTGCGCGTTGCCGATTGTGCGTTCACATTACCCCCAGCTGCCTGCAGCAAGTCCCACCCCCGAGCCAATCCAGCACTTTGGGTGGCGAGTAATCGGGTGTTGCTGATGATGGTGATTCTTCTGATGATGATGATGATGATGATGATGATGATCAGGATGATGATGATGATGCATATGATGACGATGGTGATGCTTGTGATGGCGATGATGCTGCTGATGGGCATGATGGTGGTGATGGTGATGCTGGTGATTGTCATGTTGATGGCGACGCGGACAACGGTGACGTGAAGGAGGAGGGACAGGAATGTTGTCACATGCGTTTCATTTTGGCTCTACTTCTCGCGTAGCTTTCATGGGGCTCATTTGGGCCGCATCGGGGCTTTCTTGGGCTCCTGTGGGGCAGTCTCGTGGCCTCCTTGCGATCGTCTTGGGTTGCGTCGGGTTAATCTTGAGCCGTCTTTGGGTCTTCGTGCGCCGTTTTGAAGTTTTTTTGGCCGTCTGGGTCTATTTAGGGGAGTTCGTGGGGGCGTCTTGGGGTCGAATGGGGCCGTCAAGGGTCAAGGGGCCCGTCCAGGCCGTCTTGGATTCTTCCGGCTGCCTTCCCAGGCTGGTTTCAGCCTCTCTCTTAGGGCCGTCGTGGGCCGTCAGGGGCCCGCTTGGGCCTGGCCGAGGCCATTTTGGACGCGTCTTGGCTCGTTTTGGGGGCCTCTTGGGCCGTCGTGGGGCCATGGTGGAGCTTCCTCTGGCCGTAGTGCGCTGGCGGAATCCCGGAAATGGTTGAACCACCAAATCAATGAAACACCAAAGCAACATGAATTAGCATTGCTTTTTCGGGCCTTTTTCGGGGGTCCTCTTGGAGCTATACTGGGCCGTTTCGGGGGCCTCTACCAACTACCTTAGGCTCTTTTGGCCCTCTACGAGTACATCTTGGGATGTTTCGGAACCGTCTGAAGCCGTCTCAGAGAGAACCGTGGGCCATCTTGGTGCTCTCGGTGGCTTTCCTGGGCCGTTTTGGAATATTTGGAGAGCCCCGAGGAGCCCCCGTGGCTTGGATGAGGGGCGGCGCATGGGAAAGTATGTGACGGGTCGCGAGCGTGTCATTAGACGATCGGGTAAACCATACCAGGTAGCACATGGCATTATGGCATTCCGCTATCGCGGAGGCGCCGTCGTGGTGGACCCTCTTTGTTCAGCGATAAGAATGGTTGTGCCACTGGGGACATCGGCATGGGGCATTGCACATATGACGGGCATGATCCAACCTGGGGGGCCGGATTCGTTCCGTACCCAGGGGGCGAAGTGTAGGGAACTACTAGGGCCAACGAAAACCGATCACATTGCCCAATTATCAAGAGAGAGTATATGGTGCCTCTCCTGTTTTCCCCGCGTCCATTTTGTCTCGAACTTCCTGGTGCGGGATTCCGAGTGCCAGAGTACATGTCTCGTATGTTTTTTTTTTTTGTTTGCACAGGTGCCGAGAATGTTCCCTAACCTTCGCATGGTGCCTGCTGCAGGTGGGGCTGCTCTTGATGGCTGCGATGACGAACGTATTGTTGTGCCAGAACCTTTGGATGAGACAGCAGAGTTGGGGGCCCAGAAAGTCAAGCACCCGCGTCGGAGTGACGCTCAGACGCAGCATTGCAGAGCAGAGAAGCGGAGGAAGCATGACGAGACAAAGACTAGAGAGTAAAAGGCAGAGAACAAACGGAAGGAAGCCTCGATGGAGGCTGTCGTGAGGAGTTGCCGGAGGCAGCCAAATTTATCGGCATGAGTCCTCGGCAAGGCACTGGCGCGAGGAAAACACATACATCATATTTTGTTGTTGTGCACTTGCCCACTAGAAGCAGAGTGTTGTTGGGGGTCAAACACAAAATGCTAGTGTTCGCAGCATCCCGCCTTATACTTACCAAGCAAGCGAACGGCATGCGACGTCTACTCAAGGCAAGCGGTTGCTCCCTCTCGCTGAGGAGGGCTTTTGGCACGGGCTCATGTTTCGCATGCGCACATGTGGGATCAGGTCAACGCGAAGTCCGCCCCGCCTCGCACCCACAAGCGTCGCAAAGTTCGGAGTGCCCAGCACATGCAGACCATCGCCCAACGAGGCGTCGTGAATGTATTGATGATGGATTTGCGATCGGGCAAGTCCGTCAAGCACATCGAGCCACGGGTGTGCAAACCGAGCAAAGTCATAGCCACATCTGCAGAGGCGATTTCTCCCGCCATCGTCGACGCGATGCCCGAGTGGTTCAGCCCGCTCAGTTTGGAGGCCCTCGCGGACGCGGCGAAGGGCGCCAGCTCCTTCACTCTATGTTTGGTGTGCGACAGTGCGTATTAGAACGTATTGGTTTTGAAGAGCGTTGCGAAGTTATGGGAAGTCGCTGTTCCACCGCTAGTAATGCCCAGCATGTTGTTGATGTTGGAGACTTGCACCGGCCACGGCCGCCGCAGGGCCAAACTTCAGATCAACACGTTGCGGCACCGCGTTCTTCGTCATTTCTTGTTGGCCACTTTGTACAGGTTACAATCAGTGCAGGAAAAAAACAGCCAGTAAATATTAAGCGATGTTTTGCCGATGGTGCACCGAAAGATTGCCCCCCCTTCCTGGTAATGTGCGGCACCCTTTTGAAACGATTCGTCGTGTAGTTTTTCGCCCCCGAGAGCCACGCCGCAGGCGCAAAGATGGAGCGCCCAGTCAGCAGACAGTAGAGTTGGATGAGTTGTGCAGTCTATGCAAGTCGGACTTGAAGGGTGAGTGGACGCACTACTGTTGGATCCAATTCGCCAGGAACCATGTTGCAGCAATTTGATTGGAACGCGCGATAAAGTTCTGAGGACTACTACGAATGCATTGGGCGGCAGGGGGCAACCTTTGCCGCCCGAGTCGGGGAAGGCGAACACAACTCTGAATTCCCGACGAACGTTGTTGAGGCAGGTCGTCTGGGGCATCGGCGCTAGGTGTGTTGGCATGGACCCACCGGATGGCAGCAGCGCCGACAGACCCGTGCACGTTGAAGGGCAGGCTGCCGAGGGGCATTTCGCGCAAAGTCGCCGCGGCGTGCCCCCGCCAGCGGCCCCGCCTTTTTCCGCGCTAGCCTGCTGTAGCGCGGCATCTGGCCTGCCTGCGTAGGCCTGGCTATCGTTCGACCCCTTGACGCCGCGCGGCGGTCCGCTCGCGGTTGCGGACGAAAAAGTGCCGCCGCCAGCCCGCTGCAGAAACCCAGCGTATGAGAGCGGACGGGAAAAGAAGCTGGGGGGCACATCTAGGGAAACAAAGCGAGCGACCAGGGTGAACCGAGAGATCTTTGGGAGCACGGGGGTGGCTTTGGAAGGCCTCTTCGGGCCGCCCCTGGGGGCCGCGCGGGGGCGAGGGGAAGAACGAGAGGAGGAGGGGGGGGGGGGGGGGGGGGCGGGGGAGGATAGGAGGAGGAGGAGGAGGACGACGACGACGACGACGAGGACGAGGACGAGGACGACGAGGGCGAGGACGAGGAGGACGAGGGCAAGGGCGAGGAGGAGGAGGATGAGGACGACGCGGACGAGGAGTCATTGAACCATATAGAGGTATTATTGCGGTTGTTGTTGTGGTTGTGGTTGTGGTTGTGGTTGTGGTTGTTCTTGTGTTTGTTTTTGTTTGTGTTTTTGTTTGTGGTGTTGTTCTTGTTGTTGTTGTTGTTGGTGTTCCCTGGGAGCTTGGGGGGGGGGGCCCTCTTGGAACCCTCTTGGTAACCCTGGAAGGCTTTCTTGGGATCACCCAGGAGGCTATCGATCACAGGATGGGGGGGGGGGGGGGGGGGGAACTCAGCTCCCCTCTCAGGAGCCCGCAAACCGATTCTTGGGGGCTCTCTTGGAGCGCTCATGGAGCGGCCTTGGGGCCGTTTGGGGCATGTGGGAGCCATCTTGAGCCAGCCTGGGCTATTTGAGCCGTGTTGGCGGTCATCTTGGCATCTCTGAGGCCCCCGAGCGGGCCTCTCGGGCGCCTCTTGGGGCCCTTTTCTGGGCTCTCGCATGGATATGTTGCGGTTCTCTTGGAAGCCCTCAAGCGCCTCTTGGGGCCGTCTTCGAGGCGATCGATCAAAGGGGGGATGGTCCCGATCGCTCCCCCCCCCGCCTCGGGGGCCGCGATCCTCGCGATGGGGGTCAACGGTTGGCCCTCGCAAGGGCCGCAACAAAAAAACCTCCGATCGCCCGCGACCCCCTCCCAAAAAAAAGGCATGGGGGAGGGGCGAGCCCTTCCCCGAACTGGAAGAGGATTTTTTGGGGAAGGGGAAGCAAAACATTGTTAGACCACCTAGGCCCAGATGGCTGGCGGGATGATCAACGCTTCGAGCGCCCCGAGCTGCTCATCCACAGACGATGCTTTCGCGAATGCCGTCTATGGGGGAAACGCAAGAACACGCAGCGGAGCAAGATAAGGCCAGTCGCCACGGTGGGAAGGGGGGGGGAGGACGACGAAATGGATGAATAAAACAGTGGGAATAAGACGGAGGAGGAAACATCAGTTGAGGAGTAGGTGAGAAGAGGAGGAGGCGCAGGAGTAAAAAGAGGATTGGGGGCGGAAGAACGATACGAAAACGACGACGGCGGCCTTGTTGGAGGCTGATTGGATCCATCATGGGGCCCTCTTGGGGCCGCCCCCGACAATGCGACAACGCGTGAACGACGAGCAATTTGAATTTTAGTTGTTGTTTTCGGATACTGTGCAATAGCGAAGGCCGTGCCCCCTCACATTCCCGAGCTCATGTTAATTTCGCCCCCTAAATTGCGATCGTTTTCCCCGACGTTCGGCGGCCCGCTTTTTCGGGCAGTGCGCGCGCGCGACCAAGGCGGCTTCGGCAAATGGCAGTGGACCCCGCGCCCTTTGAAGATCCGGAAGCCCCCATTCAGATCCCCGCGCCTCTGTAAGCGCGCCCGCGCGTCCGAGTTCAATCGCAAAACGCCGTGCCCAGTTAAATTTCCGTGCCCCTTTGAATTCCCGTCTTTTTCTGAAGCATTCGACGGCCCGTCGGGCGACGGGCGCGCTTTGGCTGGCAGCTGACCACCTGGCGGGGCCACGGGGTGAGTTGCTGGCCATCGATAAAGTATTGGGGCGCGCTCGTTTCTTCGCCGCGCCCCCGCCCGCCGGCAGTGAAAGCGTCGCCGCTCGGGGCGCTTTAGGGCGGCCTTGGGTCCGCCTCGGGGCATGTTTGGTCCTTTTTGGGGCGATTGTGAGACCTCGGAAGCCAGCGAGGAACGAGGTTACAAAAACGCAAAACGGTTTGCGTTGCAGCGGGTTTTCAAATATGCGTTGTGTTCCCGGGCGCGTCCGCGGGCGGCCCCGTGGCCATTGGGGGCCGTCTTGGGGCGGGCGCGGGCCTCTTGGAGGCATGTTGGAAACAATGCCATATTTGGCAAGTTCCTGTCATTTTGGAGGGCCACATTGGGCAATGCGGGGCCGTTATCGAGCACCCGCGGGCCACGTTGGACTCCACGTTGTTCGCGCGCCTTTCCAGGCCCAAAGGAACCGAGGATGGGGGCGGCGAGCCCGCCCCCCGACGGGGAAGAAAGGGGGATTGGAAGCATCAATCCAGCGTGTCACTCGTGCCCAGATCGGGCTGGCAGGATCCGATCCACGCGTGTTTCTCGGGGCATTGAATACTATGCCAAGGCCGAGACATGCCGCGAAGTCGCTGCGTTGCTCATCGTCGTCGACGTTATCGACAGTGCCCTGCTGCATCCATCCTGGGCGACGCAACCCAGAAAAGGGACGAACTCCCGTGCAAAATCCTTAAGCTCACCAGCAAGGAGGTTTCGCTGACCGGCTCGTGCCAGCAGAAGCTGCTCAACCTGTTTTCCGTGTTGGATGTGGGCGGTCAATTTCGAGACCTTCGGATGATCCTCGATGTTTTTTTGGGCCCCTTTTTGTCTTCGCGGGTTTGTCTGCGATGGGCGAGGGGCCAGCGCGTCAGGGCAGGTAGTGTGATTTTTTCGGATATATGAGAACACTGGCGCATCGCATGTCCCCAGTGCCAATATTTGAGCAATTTCGGGGCCCTCCTGGAGCCAGCGCGGGCGCTTCGGTCTATTGGGACCTTCTCTACGCTTCGCTCTCGAACACATCGCGGCGCCATAGCGACGCAGTCAACGTCGGGTTTTCGCCCTCGCTGACGGTGCTGCTGGACTCGGTTGAGCCGAATCGGAGCGCGCAGCGGCGGGGCCATCAGGTCAGCCCCTGGCCGACGAAGCTGCCGCGCGCGAGTCGCACGCAGAACGAATGCCAAGCAAACGGCGGTTCCCCAGAAGGCAGTGGACGTGGTGTGTGTGCGTGTGTGTGCGTGTGTGTGCGTGTGTGTGTGTGTGTGTGTTTTTTCACGGGGTTCCGAGGTGGGGCCCGCGGCTTCTGGGAGACACTGTGAGAACATATGTGGGGCCTTCTTCGGAGGGCATGTTGGAGGCAATGCTAAATAATGTTCGGCTGTCGCGCCCCATATTGGAGGCTGTGTTGGAGCTTCTATGTCCCCCCTGGGACAATCAAGGGCGATCGCGGGTCCTCCAACGCGCCGCCCCCCTCCAGACCCACGATGCAGAAAAGGAGTTGGAAGAGGCGGTTCGGCGCGCCATTCACGCCCGAAAGGGCGATTGGGTTTTCTGTCTCATGCTGGCCGCGCCTGCTCCGCTTGCACCCCGATTGTGGGCGTGCACAGGCGTTCGAGGGCCCGCGTGCTCCAGGCGCGCGGTTTGGGCGCGTGCGTCATTTCAGAAATAGCGGGCGTTGGCCATGCGATGATGCGATCTGGGACAACTGTCATCTGCGCGCTCGCGCGGGCCCCCACCCCCCGCCCCGCCCGCCCGCCCCGGGTCCTGCCGTGGCAGAGGTGGGCCCTTAAGTCTTGAGACGCCAGAACAAACGAACGCCCTCCGCAATAGTTGCGTTCGCGCTCTCTATGCGAGCTGGAGGCCGACAAGCAGCGCGTCGCCAAGTTGCTCCTAGATGCCCCGATGCACGATCTCGACGCGTACAGCTTCGGTTTGCGAAGCAGGTTTTCAACTGGAAGGCTCTTGCTCGGAATGGAGGGCGCTGCCGCAGTTGCGCGCGACTTCGACGCCAACCCCGCCGCTGGCATCGACGCGATCGAGCGGCTCAACGCACGCCTGACATCCAACTACCCGAGGCGGGCCCCAGCTCGCGCATTCACCGACGCCGCTGGCCAGTTCGCGATTCACGTGGCCGCAGTCACGCACGTGGCCGCCGGTGGCGACCACCCGTTGGCCACGCGAGCTTAGACTTCAGAAGGCCGGGGGCACTTGTGCCAAACGTGCCTTCTGTTGTTGCCCAAGGCGGCGTGCCTTCCGACCGTCGTCGACGATGTTTCTGGCCAGTGCCTTGCTCATGCTTCGCCGCGCCCTCCGATTGTCGACCGAGCGCCAGGCCGGCGCGACGCGCCTTCTTCGTCGCCCACGCAGGCTGCGGCAACAACGTGCTTCGCGGATGCCGTCGCTGCGGATGGCCGGCAATTCGAACAGGAATTCGTCGACGATGAGACATTGTTTTTTTGGCGGCGTTGTCGTGGCATGCCGCTTCAAGGGACAAGCGCCCGCACTAGTAGTGGTAGTAGTACGAGTAGTAGGAGTACTTGTAGTAGTCGTCGTTTTAGTCGTAGTAGTAG